TAAGGGCCTTAATTTTAGGATCCTTTTGTACTCCCTATTAAGGGGACGGGGTGTATTCATCAGGGGTTTATATTACTCAATTACGTTTAGTGAGCCGGCAGCCTTCACGAACGGATGCACAAAAGGGTTCTTTTAATCTGCCACGGAGCCCTACACCCCAAACCTTAAACCCTAAACCCGAAATCTGAAACCCTAAACCTTAAACCCTAAACCCTAGACCTTGGACCTTAAACCTAAACCCTATTTCGAGGAGCCAGGCATTAGGTAATGGATCCAAAGAGTAGTGTCTATATGGGGGTTTCCCAAAATTAGGGGTCCCCTTAGAGGAGTTTTTTGGGGTTGAATAGGGGTATGTAGGTAGGATTTAGGGATAACGGAACGGTTGAGGGATTTCCCAAGTTAGGGGTACCATTTTTGGGGTGGGGGTCCCCAAAAGGAAGGATCAAAGTATTTTGGAGTTTGTAGTGGGGTCCCCCTGTTTAGGGAAACTACCATATTCTTGTCTACAACAATCCCTATAATCATGCCGCTTTTCAGTTTAAGGCTAAGATGTTTCTGCACTCCTGGAGGCTCTAGAATGATTTGTTAACCATCGGATTTTCAGACTCTCCCAATTCACAGCAACCGTCATCGACTGCCAGCTGTACACTTTACATTGACAGAGAAGGCACTAAGTCGGATTTTACAGCTAATCGGGAGAATTTTGTCCTGTGTATATCTTGTATGACGGTGCTGGGGCTAGCAGACCCATTAAGCCGCGAAATCAGGCTCTGAACACCAAGCAGCCAAGCAGGGAACTCTCAACCGCAAATTGCAAACTCTAAGCATGATAAGAGCAGAAATAGTAGTAGCAATGGGCATAATAACTATATTCATAATACCAACAGCAATATTCATATTACGAATAGCCATATCCACAATGATCGTAACAATATTTAGTCAGTAGTAATGCAGCAGCTGGCCTAGGTCTTCTCCAGTGGCGCAGATTCTGGTGATCGAGAGACCAGTATGGCTGGGGAGTGGAATACTAAGGTGCTCCCCAGAGGTTTCTGACGAGTTGGCTTTGACGCTTCAGGCTCAAGGTTTGGGGCCCTGGATTTTGGGTCTAGAGATTTGTTTGGGATTTAGGGGCAGAAGGCGTTAGGCCTAAGTATCTAAGGTTTTGAGGAATTCCTTGAGGGGGCAGTGCGCAAGGGTGATGCAGGCAGGCTGCATTGGATTCAGGGTTAAGGTTTTAGGGTTTAGGGCATATCACGTTTCATGAATAAACGAAACAAGTCTTGAAACGGTGTTCACCTTCAAGAAACTTGCTCGTTGCTGTCTTTTTTTGCTAGGCTCGCAACTGCTTGAGGGATTCATCGCGTTCAGACCTGTGCTCTAAGCCCCCTGCAAGCCCCTAATGTCTTCATTTAGGTTTCAGGGTTTGTGCCTGAACCCCTGAACCTAAACATGCCTGACTAGCTGTTCATTGACCTATTGTCAGTGTGATGGCAACCGCAGGAATTCTGACCAATGGCAGTCATAGGGTTTCTTGTAGTCAACTCACATCACTCATGTCCGGCAAGTAGAAGTAGCATATTGTACATGATGTGGTGTTTGTAAACGTATTTCATCACAAGATCTTCAGTACTAGGCTTTTGACGGATTAATACGATGTTTATTGCTGTGTTGACTTTTGGAGAGTGGTTACCAGCTAGCCGGCTTATGTCAGGCTTGCCTTGCTCATTTAACTGCTACGGATCATCTGCGTCTTAGTTGAACCCGACTTGGCACCGTATCCTTTATCGGGTTATTTGCTGCGACATGATACACGACTTTGGTATGTAGTCTAAAGCAATGTAAGTCTAGTAGCTTCCATGTTCTTGTCCATTCCCCCATATATCCCATCTATGTGCTTTCCATTTTCTTTGTTTTCCATTCCCTTATATACCCCATATCATGTTGTACGTGGTATGTTTTTGGTATGATTGGTTTGCTAGTCCGCAGGTGCAGGTCAGCGTTGCGAAAGAGCGTGGGTCCAACGCGGACGGAACCACTTGGCAACAACGGCGAATTACAGGGTTCAGGGGTGGTTGTTTCTCAACATCGCCCGCCACATGGTCCCTAGTCATAACGCCCTCGTAAGTCCAATGCACATTTCGGATTTGGGGTCCCTAGGGCTACCCTTGTTTTGAGAAAGCCGCATGTCTCAAAACAAGGGTAGACACAATCCACCGGATGCGACCCAACATCCTACGGTTCAGCTCGAACCTGCAAAGCCCTCAGACAATACCCTTGAGGGTTTACAGGGTTGAGGGTTTAGAGGGTTTAGGTTTTTGGGTTTTAGGGTTTAGGGTTTAGGGTTTTAGGGTTTAGGGGTTTAGGGTTTAAGGGTTTATAGGGTTTAGGGATGGAGAAATTTGTCCAAGTGCGCTGTGCGTGCAAAGAATTTCGCTAGTCCTATTCTTCGCGATTCTTTAAGCTCAACGCTGCGACAGGCAGGGCGATGGTTGCAATGCGTGGGGACTTCCCCGAATTCATTGCATTACACGTCGCTGTAGTTGGGTTCCTATTAAAATTCGGGTCCATGTGAAACGCAAATTTCACCATTGGGAATAGTACTTCCGGCCGGGCTGAGTCCCACACATGTGCTGCGTCATGTTTGGCTACGTGTAACGCCCCAAGCTCTAAACCCAAACCATAAAACCTACTAGGGAGGATGTGTTTAGTACAGGAGAGTAGCGTGCCTCACGACTGAATCAACATCCATGGTGAGGATTTTAGCATAACGCCCAGAGCGCTATATACCCGGATATAACGTCCCTTAAAGCCACCCCTATTTTACCATACCATCGACACTGACTTTGCCGCAGACTCCAGCATTTCCCGAAGCCTGGATTGCAAAACATATCGCCAAAAGGGTGCAGCATCATGGCATACACTTTCGCAGGAGGGTTTCAAGGAGTTGTGGGGCTTTCCCACAATGGTGTTGCAGGAGACCCTTGACTTATCAAGTTTGAGTATGTATACCTTATGGCCGAGAGTTTTCGGACACTTGAACATATGGTAGTTGCCACGAATAGGGGTAACTCAATATATGCATGTATATATATATATAAAGTTATGCCGAATACTCTAGCCCTCATTCGCGCGCTCCAGTCAACCCTAGCCTGTTCTAGCCTGTGCTTTATGTAGAAGCCCAAAGAATTATAAGTATCAGGGTCATTCAGTCACACACTCCTTGTACGTATAGGTATGGTATATGCTCAAAGGTACCTCAAATAGATCTCAACTGATAACCCTAAACCCTAAATCCTAAAGTCTAAACTTATTCGGCTTCTACATTAGGAGCTGCCTTTCTCTTAGCCTTTTTCTCCATGGCTACAGCCATCACGCGCCCCGCGCCAAAGACGCGCGGCAAGGCGTGTGCAGGCAAAGGCCGGCTGTCAGTGTGGGTCCTTCCGCAGGGCTAGAGGTTTAGGATTTAGGATTTAGGGTTTTAGGGTTTAGGGTTTTTGAATTTAGGGTTTAGGGTTTAGGGTTTAGGGATTTAGGGTTTAAAGTTGTGGTCCGATGTGGTTCTCAATTGGGTTCCTCTAGATATTGTTACTCTCAGAGGTTTGAGGTTTTGGATTTAGTTAGGGCGTTAGGCTTGTGACAGTGAGGACTTGTAGGAATTTTAGGTTAGACTCCCTAATTATGTGGCGCCGGATTTTTGTAGCGACTCGCATCAAGGCTGATACCATAGCTATAGTATCTAATTGTACCTCAATACCCTAAACCCTAAACCCTAAACCGTGTCGTGGA